ATAAAATATAACTGTTTTTAAAACCACAATTTACATGGTTACTATAAAATAAATACATAAAAATAACGCAAGGTTTTTACCTAATTAATTATTTATAATCATTTATCGTTGAACGTACATTTTATAACTCTGAGAATTAGTGGCGATTGGAAATTATTTTTCTTCTATTTTTATAATTTTCTCCTCATTATTATTATTATGCAAAACGCTAAATTATTTCTGTTAATTATACACTAAAAAATATACTTCCTGTTAACGACTTGAATTTTCTAGATTTTTCTTTGATGCGTTTGGTACACTTATATATTATTTTAAAACCATTTATTCTAATATACTGTTCGATCATTTAAATATTGTCATCATTTTTCAGGTTGATGTTAATAGGTTTATTTCAATCAATTATTGATCTTTAGTTATACACATTGATCAATCGAATGCAATCTGTATGAATAAAAGCATTTAAAAAAAAAAAAACTATTGACTTCGTCAAACGTAATTTAACTGGCATAAAAATGATTAGATCCCTGAAACGATTATACGACAAAATTTATAACCAAATGTATTTAGATACAGATTTTTGGAGATTCTATTATCTACACTTCAGCATTTTTCAGACGTTGTTTTAATATTATGACGCTTCAACATAAGTTTCACAATGTAGTTAATAAAATCTATAACCTRTAACCACTAACCTAGCATACCTAAATATGAGGATAAAATCAAATTTTTACCACTAATTAATAATTATTTTAATACACGATTATTGTCATAATCATATAATTGGTGATATAATACTGTATAATAAGACAGTAAGGTTACAATGAAATAGGAAAATTCGTCCGCTACATGAATTGAAACAGAATTATTTAAGTGTTATAATTATTTATTGTTTGGTCGTAAAACTATATTTTAAGCATTAGTTTATTACATAATCACAAAACGATTATTTAATTAATGAAGCCTCTTGRACGTAAAAAAATAAATATAAATTAATATGAAACAATAACTATCGATACCATAAAATATTGTAACAAACTTGACATATTATTATTGTTCCGTATTTCTTTTGTATTTCTTACTGTGCAGGGCATGATAATATGACATATCAACCGGACATATCATTAAAACGTAATGTTATGCTTAATATTATTATATTATATTCAAAAACAATATTATTTTGTTACATACCTACAACAGCAGCAGCTGTGTTGTGATAATCGTGTTTTTCATACCGACGGAACCGAATCGTAATGAATTATGTTCGTACTTAACGCGCTGATAAAAGTGAGCCACACACTCAAATTATTATATTATGTGTAATAGATACATGTAGGTTAATTAAATATAAATTCCCAAACAAACGAAAACATATCAAAATGATTTATGATGTGATATTATAGAAAAAATGATCTAAACAAAATGTAATATTTTTATGTAACAAAAAACATATATCGTATATTATAATATATAGGTCTATAGTTCAAATATATAAGCTATTAAATAAAATAAGTTAATGACGTCATAGTAAAAACCTATTCTCTTGTCTCAAGCAACTTTTTTAAATATATTAGTTTTAGTAATTTATAACTTGTACTAATATGTAACAACAGACATATCACTTGATAACTTAAGAGGGTAATGGTTATGTGTTTTTTTTTTTTACTTTGTTAGACATGCGTCGAGTATGTTTGTAGGATATTATTAATATTATTAGTATATAAGAATAGATGTATTGTATAATATTATAATGTAGCATTAATAAATATAAATATAATATGTATTTAGAGATATATAAATGGATGCGTTTTTTTT